ATCTACGTTGCCGATACATCAGGTTTTGCTGCACTGCCCTTGTCTAATCTTCTGGCCTCTCTATCTCCTCAATAGTCTGAGGGAACAATCCCCTCCTCTGGTTCAGCATCTCCTACAGCATCGAGCAAAATTCAGTGGGACCATGACCAACCACAAAAATGAGACATACGAAAAAGGTAGACACAAGAGCAGAACCAGAAGGACTATGCAGGACTCTGGAACCCAACCTCAATCCAAGTTCCTTTAGAATGATCATACAAGCAAATGACAAAGGCTTGCTCTTTTGTAACTATAGTGTCCCGGTTTTAAAAAAAAATGAAAAGAAAAACACCCTCAAACCAATACCGAAACACTACAAAACAATTCCAAATGATCTATCTTGTATTATGTTGTTTATCTTTTTTGAGATAAGAAAGATTCTCTGTTACATGTATCTCTTGATTGTCTGTTCATTATCTATTATATCAAGGTATAGGTATTTAACATGTATCTATATGATGTTTTTATACATATATGAGGTTTTTTATATGTTACATTTCGACGTCGTTTCGTCAATTCGTCGTTTTCGTCGTTTTTTTTCCTCCACTTCTCGCGTCGATCGCTCGGAGCTCAGGAGCAACATCTGCAACCCCTGGGGGAGCTGCGCCACCTCCGTGCCGAAGACGACAGACATCGACAAACGGAACATGGACAGAACATGAAGTGCTTCATGTGATACGCAAAGCGATACGCAAAGTGATACGCAAAGTGCTTCAAGTGATCATAGAAATCTTATCTCTCTTCAACACAATCTGAAACAAGAGGCCGGGATGCACACAAAATTGAGAATTTGCAAAGGTGTTCATCCTTCAAACACATGATGATTGTCTGTGCCTGACTCATCAAATTTGGCGGCAGCAAATTCCGGAGGGATGGCTGCAATTGACCCCTCGATCCCATGCATCGATCCGATGCAGATCTCAAAACACTTCACCACTGGATCTATGTCTTCATATGACTTCTGTCTTCCAGTCTTGCAGTTGACTCGAAGATCTTCAAGTCATTAAAAAAAAACATAAAAATAGCCAAGCAACTCGCAAAAGATTGTGGTGCTTTTGCCAATGCGCGCAACGGTATCTGGTTCACAAGCAACAACCTCCATACAAATGGGCAGAGAACTCTGAGTTTTGTCACTAGATATTGTAACATGCCAAGGGGGAATCCAAGGGACAATTGCTGCGCAACCTGTGCTGGCTACGTTGCACAGTTGCACTTCACCATCTGACACTTACGGAGCTTGAAGGTCTGAAGGAGTCCAACTTGGCTCCACATGCTGAGCTGCCAAAGTCAGTGCAGCATCATTGCTGCCAAAGGAACCTTGAACTGCACGCCTTGATAGGTAAAGAATTCATTCGCCTGCCCACATCAAAAAAATTAAAAAAAGATGCCAAAAAAAAGATGAAGCAATTTGAGACTTCAAAACTGCACTTGATTGCTCCTTGCATCTCCTTGCTATGAGAGGCAGCTTGAGAGGACGTGGAGATGTTGACATATCGTTGACACATCCATGGGATTCCAGCCTGGTACTTTCTATGTGGATTGGCCACCAGGTAAGGCTTGAGGTAATCGCCAAAGAGCTCATACTCATACGCCCGGGGCAGCGTATCCTGTCAAGGCCCTGGCCCTGTGGCCAGGTTCCCACCGGGAAACAATTTCTGGCCCCATATTCTACATAGTAATTTATTATATTTGTATTACATATATATATACATATATACATATTACATAATATTATATATATAATACTATATATATATAATATACATTATTTTATATTCTTCACCCCATCATCTCTTCATCCCTTCACCCCCTTCACCCCATCCCGTCCATGAAGGGAAGGATGTGAACCTTCTCGAATTCAGGTGTCGAGTCCCAATTTGCGAAGATCTCTGTGTCGGTCTTGGTGGCTGTCAGAAACCAACCAGTCTCGTATGAACCCGCCCAGAATTCTGAACGTCTGTAGCCTGTGGCAAATTAAAGGGTCAATAACTCTGAAGGCTCAGATGGAAGATCCAAGTTGACAATGGGTCAAACTACTAAACTTTACTAAACCTTTATAGAATCGAAAGGCTATCAGCTCTATTTTCCCTTTCTCTGACACCATACATATGTAACATATCATATGTATCATTACTGTAGTTGCGTTGACTTTTGGTCCTCCTTTCCTCCTTGTGATTTGCACATCTTTCACATTGTTATCAACTCTTCATAAGAAGTGTTTATTGATCTTATTAAAGTTTATTAACGTTTATAAAGGTTTCACATTTTTTCAGACCTTGATATTGAAACCTTACTCATCTTACTCTTCAAACCTGGGGCCCCGAACGGAGACCAATCCAAGACCCGTTGGCTCAGTGGCCTCCACCTGCAACCAGACATCACCAACCTGTCGCGCCGGAGGTTGGAAAATCTGTAGAGATGTGTGAAAATCTGTGACTACGGGAAAATGATGAAAATGACCATGTGAAAATCTACAATAATCATCAATAATCTATATTGACATTGACATAATTATATCATTGATGTACAAAATCTCGTGACCCCTTGCGAGATTTTGAATGATGTTGAATTGATGTTGAATAGCTTTCATAAAAGGGTGGGCTTCGCAAATCTTCGCAACTCTTCGCACAGCGATGAGCCTTCACCACCTGACCCGCATACAACAAACGAACCCGCTTGGCATCGGGGCTGTAGGGCGCGTACCTTGGCACAAACTGATCCTGAGATCCTGAGATCCGAGAAAAACGGAGTAAGGAACTGCATACTGCATGTATACTGGGCATGCACTGGGCATGCACTGGGCATACTGGGCATACTGGGCATACTGGGCATACTGCATGCACTGCATAAGCTGATCCAGGCTGATCCAGGCTGATCGTGCAGAATTGATGTGAAAGTTCACTCAGTTCATTCGTAAGAGATGTCTGGAAGGTTTGAATTCGTTCACTGTGGCAAATCTGAAGTGGATTAAACTGTATGTAACCTTGGCCAAATCTTGATGACAGCTGCACTACAACTGCACGTAGCGAAAGACCAAAAAGATATGTTTGGATCTTTCTGGAGCATCAGCTTCCGAGACGAACCCAAAGCAACGTGCCAAAGTCGGCCAAAGGTGTCCGTTCTCTGGGTGCCAAGCTCTCCTTTGAAGTATGGCCTCACGTACCTTTGCCAACTGGGACTTTTGGCACTTAAAAGGAAACACGCATCCGAAAGCCTTCAAAGGATCTGAAAAAGACGTGGAGAACCTTGGAAAACATGAAAAAACATTAAAAAAAACACTTTGTGTTTGGTGAGCATCCTGCAGTATATGCAGTATGTAGAACACCACACTGGCATCCAAGCGGCTCGTTGAAGAGTTGCTCAGAAGAGAACTCCGTGGGTCCCCACGCACTGGCGCGTCTGAAATCTGTGTACCAACTGTACCAACCACTTCAAGAGACAAATCGTGAGACGAGCTTTCTGGTTCGCAAAGTTTGCAACACGGCCTGAACTGGATCTTCTGAAAACAAATGACTGGAGCTCCATCCACAAAGAAATCCTGACGGCAGGCCAAATTCCTTGTGGTTTATATAGTTGTGGCATCACAAGCCAGGAAAAAAAAGCATGTCCACCATCTTTAAGAAAAGACTGCGCCATTGCATCAAGTTGTTACACTAATTAAAAACCTGCAAATCAAGTCCGAGTCAGTCTCAACCCGGTTTTCGCTCCGTGTCCATCCCAAGGCAGCCCTGAGGAGGGTCACACCTAACAGGAAATGCCAAATCCTGCAACGCTGCACAGGTTGCACAGGACAGGTTGCACTGAGGGCCCCGCTTAATGACCACAAATTCGGCGTTTGATGCTTTCACCAAATCACCCGAACGAACCACCTGAGACAATCTCTGACATGTCGACAAGTGTCGATAAATGTCGATAACAGCGACTGTCTCATGTCATCAAACGGTCAAACTGAGAAGATCCAGGCTGGATCCCAAGAGAATCCGGTCGGAATCCGGTCGGAATCCGGTCGGAATCCGGTCGGAATCCGGTCGCCTCTTTCGTGTTCCGAATTTGACGGAGTGTATCTGCGAGAACATCCATGCGACCTCAGAACCATGGAGCAAGTTCCGACACCTCGCCCCAAGAGTGTGGGCAGGGTGGCTCCAAACCGTTGAAAGATATAAAAACACATTAAAACTACGGGGATCTGTACCAAGCATGTCGTTTCAAGTTCTGCCAGTCCAGCTGAGCCCCTAACTTTTTCCCTTGATTTGAGCATCTGCCTGAAAGACTAATCGAGTGTGAAAGGGTCTAGTGCTGTCCCGCGATCACGTTCCTTGCCTCCTTGAGGGGCAAGATGTGCAGTTTCTTTATGTTCTCCTTCGCACTGGCCAAATGGATCCAAATGGCAAGTTGCCCTTTAACACATCAACGAACCAACTTGCAAAAAAATATATGTACAGTCGCATTTGATCAAGTACCCATTAAGGAAGACTCTGCTCCTCACCATTTCCTGCGAGCCTCAAAGCTTTGGGATCCAAAATGCAACACACCATGAAAAACATCAAATGTTGACAGATCTTCTCTGTTTTGAAATGTTTTGCTGGACAACTGCACTCCAGCACAGCATCAAAAGATAAAGCGCTGCCTTTCTGCAGAAGAGCTGGAAGTAGCCTTGGGGACGCTGAACATGAAATACATGAACCGGGTTCATGAAAGATCATCAATAACCATCAGGAATCCGAAACATCTAGCAATCAAATTGACAAAAAATATTCAGACATGCTAAAAGTCAAAATGCGCATCCGAGTGCGGTGCCGCTTGAACCCCCAGTTCTGAATCAACCCCCATTTTATCGGGTCTGACCGCTAGGGTTTGAGCCTCAATTTCAACAACACCGCCAAGCTACAAAACAAAGGCTTTCAGGACACTCCCAGACTTGTTGGACATGTCATCTAGACTGCAAGAGTTCCAACCTTTTTCCGGAGCATCATTTTTGCATCGCCTCTCAGTTTGCACGAAGTTTGAATGTTGTGAGACGGGGCAGAACCCGCTGCCGCTAGCACTGTGCTTCGCTTCCCATCATCTGGCACCAAGCACCACCCGTGACGGTCGCTCTATCGCTTTTGCCTTTGGTTCCTTCGTTCCGCTCCTTCGTCTTCCCTCCACCTCTCCACCTTCCCTCCATCTTCCCACCCCGCCCTCGTCTTCAGCTGTCTCCCAAGCTGCGAGGAGTTTGCATCTAGTGAATGCGCTCTCCTGGCCAACAAGCTCGGAAGAAACCATGGAAGGAGCAACTACCTCGCCCTTTCCTGGGAACTGGAACAAGACATGCATCGCCATAAAGGACAGGCATTTGTGTATGTCAGCATCTGTGAAAGTGTATGCAATGAATATGCAATGTATATTCCAATGTAAGCCTTTGAGACGATCTGACACGGATCAGCCTCGTTTGCTCTCCTGTAAGGAGATCCGCGACGTCATCTTGGCGCAAACTCACCGTTTACCCCTGATCCATCATCTTTCAGGTCGTTTCAAGTCGTGAGGCTTTTCCACAGGAACTCGTACCTTGCCATGGATTCTCGACATGTTGGATAGATCACTGTCATATTTGCAGATAGATCACTGGTACTATTTGCGATAGATTTGCAAATAGTACCTACAACTTGGTCTTCAGGCCTTTGTTTCCTTCCTCAAATGGAAGGCCCTGTGGAAGAGCACAAAGGAACAGGGTCTTTCTAAATCATCCAACGCATTCAGCAATGTGCATGACAACTTCCGCAGTGATCGCAGAATGGCAATACATTAATAGCATTTACTTGCGAACGAATTTAATGACCCAAACAGCTCTGCAACAGCTGAAAGTAAGCGGCAGTATCAGGATGTCAACTAGAGTGAGCTTTCCCACTAGAATTGCTGAAACAGGAAGCAAATGTGGATTTCTATCTGCAAAGGTTGGATCTCTATCTGCAAAGATTGGACTTCTATCTGCAAAGGTTGGACTTCTATCTGCAAAGGTTGGATTTCTATCTGCAAAGGTTGGATTTCTATCTGCAAAGGTTGGACTTCTATCTGCAAAGGTTGGATTTCTATCTGCAAAGGTTGGATTTCTTTCTGCAAAGGTTGGATTTCTATCTGCAAAGGTTGGATTTCTTTCTGCAAAGGTTGGATTTCTATCTGCAAAGGTTGGATTTCTATCTGCAAAGGTTGGATTTCTTTCTGCAGAGGTTGGATTTCTATCTGCAAAGGTTGGATTTCTATCTGCAAAGGTTGGATTTCTATCTGCAAAGGTTGGATTTCTATCTGCAAAGGTTGGACTTCTATCTGCAAAGGTTGGATTTCTATCTGCAAAGGTTGGATTTCTATCTGCAAAGGTTGGATTTCTATCTGCAAAGGTTGGATTTCTATCTGCAAAGGTTGCACTTCTATCTGCAAAGGTTGGATTTCTATCTGCAAAGGTTGGATTTCTATCTGCAAAGGTTGGATTTCTATCTGCAAAGGTTGGATTTCTATCTGCAAAGGTTGGATTTCTACCTGCAAAGGTTGGATTTCTATCTGCAAAGGTTGGATTTCTATCTGCAAAGGTTGGATTTCTATCTGCAAAGGTTGGACTTCTATCTGCAAAGGTTGGACTTCTATCTGCAAAGGTTGGATTTCTATCTGCAAAGGTTGGATTTCTATCTGCAAAGGTTGGATTTCTATCTGCAAAGATTGGACTTCTATCTGCAAAGGTTGGATTTCTATCTGCAAAGGTTGGATTTCTATCTGCAAAGGTTGGACTTCTATCTGCAAAGGTTGGACTTCTATCTGCAAAGGTTGGATTTCTATCTGCAAAGGTTGGATTTTTATCTGCAAAGGTTGGATTTCTATCTGCAAAGGTTGGACTTCTATCTGCAAAGGTTGGACTTCTATCTGCAAAGGTTGGATTTCTTTCTGCAAAGGTTGCACTTCTATCTGCAAAGGTTGGATTTCTATCTGCAAAGGTTGGACTTCTATCTGCAAAGGTTGGATTTCTATCTGCAAAGGTTGGACTTCTATCTGCAAAGGTTGGACTTCTATCTGCAAAGGTTGGATTTCTATCTGCAAAGGTTGGATTTCTATCTGCAAAGGTTGGATTTCTATCTGCAAAGGTTGGACTTCTATCTGCAAAGGTTGGACTTCTATCTGCAAAGGTTGGACTTCTATCTGGAAAGGTTAGATTTCTATCTGCAAAGGTTGGACTTCTATCTGCAAAGGTTGGACTTCTATCTGCAAAGGTTGGACTTCTATCTGCAAAGGTTGGATTTCTATCTGCAAAGGTTGGATTTCTTTCTGCAAAGGTTGGATTTCTATATGCAAAGGTTGGATTTCTATCTGCAAAGGTTGGATTTCTATCTGCAAAGGTTGGATCTCTATCTGCAAAGATTGGACTTCTATCTGCAAAGGTTGGACTTCTATCTGCAAAGGTTGGATTTCTATCTGCAAAGGTTGGATTTCTATATGCAAAGGTTGGACTTCTATCTGCAAAGGTTGGATTTCTATCTGCAAAGGTTGGACTTCTATCTGCAAAGGTTGGATTTCTTTCTGCAAAGGTTGGATTTCTTTCTGCAGAGGTTGGATTTCTATCTGCACAAAGGTTGGACTTCTATCTGCAAAGGTTGGACTTCTATCTGCAAAGGTTGGACTTCTATCTGCAAAGGTTGGATTTCTATCTGCAAAGGTTGGATTTCTTTCTGCAAAGGTTGGATTTCTATCTGCAAAGGTTGGACTTCTATCTGCAAAGGTTGGATTTCTATCTGCAAAGGTTGGACTTCTATCTGCAAAGGTTGGATTTCTATCTGCAAAGGTTGGACTTCTATCTGCAAAGGTTGACTTCTATCTGCAAAGGTTGGATTTCTTTCTGCAAAGGTTGGATTTCTATCTGCAAAGGTTGGATTTCTATCTGCAAAGGTTGGACTTCTATCTGCAAAGGTTGGATTTCTATCTGCAAAGGTTGGATTTCTTTCTGCAAAGGTTGGATTTCTATCTGCAAAGGTTGGATTTCTTTCTGCAAAGCTTGGAGTTCTATCTGCAAAGGTTGGATTTCTTTCTGCAAAGGTTGGACTTCTATCTGCAAACGTTGGACTTCTATCTGCAAAGGTTGGATTTCTATCTGCAAAGGTTGGATTTCTATCTGCAAAGGTTGGATTTCTATCTGCAAAGGTTGGATTTCTTTCTGCAAAGCTTGGATTTCTATCTGCAAAGGTTGGATTTCTTTCTGCAAAGGTTGGATTTCTATCTGCAAAGGTTGGATTTCTATCTGCAAAGGTTGGATTTCTTTCTGCAGAGGTTGGATTTCTATCTGCAAAGGTTGGATTTCTATCTGCATCGACTTTCAATATACAGATCAATGTACAGATCAGGTCACTCCATGGTCCGCAGCACAGCTCTGTCACCGATGGAGGCAGCTCCGCCATGTCCACCTTCTTGACACTCCTGAACAAATGGCTCAAAAAGCTCAAAAAGCTCAAAAGCACATCCAAAAACCGCATTCCCATCCATTCCCATCCATTCCCATCCATTCCCATCCCTGCCGATCATGTAAAAACGCAACACCTCGTAGGGACAATGTTTTGCAACAGAAGGGTGCCAAGCTGAAAGACAAATTCTCCAAAATCAACATTGCAGTTGCCCAGAGTGAAGTCAAGGCTCATAGAGGAAAGCTTCGAGGCCATCTATGGGCAAGCTCTGCAACAATTTCACCATCTTGCGCGCGTGGCACCTCAGAATTGAATTGACCCGGAAAGATCATGTCAAGTTTCGTAAACACAAACGCGAAATGAGATGACTCTGTGGCAAAATCATATAAATTAATGACATGTGCAAACCGGTAATCCGTGTTAGGATAAGCTTCCAGCATCAGTACGTGCCTTTCTGAAGCGTTGCTCATCAAGGCACGGATGCACCCGGTCGTCCCGGGTCGACGTCGTGAACAAGACACGCATCTTGCAGCGCGGTTTGCCACAGCTGCCACAGCTCGTTTTGTGCAGATCTTGTGCCAAGTGATACGCAGAGATTTGCCTCGTTGATACGGTCAAGCACATATTGAGATTTGTGCTTCAATACCTTCCAACACTCTTTGCATCTCTGATCCTTCCTTACAAGAGAGCATGAAATTGACAAGATATTTAATAACTATAGTTATAACATATAAATCTTATAACCTAAATGTTATAACATGTTGTAACAATTTATAACTACTGTACAGAGTCGTTTTGTCCCGGCGGGCCTCAGTTCCTTCCAGCTCTGTGTGTCGTCAGGGTCTCCATACTCCTCGAGCCAGCTATGCCCAGCAAGCCATCTGTGGTACTTTCGCATGTCCGTCAAAGGCACCTAACAGAACCGAACGAAGAACCGACAACGAAACATCAACGTCCAAACGGTGATGAAATTTTGAAATGCAATACAGAATATGATAATATGATACACATATGGCAAACGTATCATTTAAATCGTTTTCAATAAGAGAAGGACCTCCATACACGATTTGTCCATATTTGTCCCAGCACCTCAGCCACGAATGCAGAGAAACGGCACGGATTCGCCAACTCCTCGGAAAAGAAATTGATAAAGGCTGCAGTGTCAAGGACAGAGGAGAGAGCTTGCTGAGCTTGCTGAGCTTGCTGGAAATCTCTTCTTTTTGAGGGGTGTTTCTCAAATCAAACCGTGCTACACCCCTTTTTCTATCCCTTTGTGTAAGATTCAGCCTGTTTTGATGCTCATTGATTTGCATCAAGCTGAATTCATATCTTCACAAAGAAGAACCCAAGAAAGGCAGTCGGTCCCGAACAACTTGATTTGCCACCAGCAGGCCACCATTCGAACGGCCCATCAGGGCGACACGTCCTGCAGGAAACCATGCACAGCTCTGGTGCCATCAACGGAAACATCCGCCAAGTATAGAAAAGTGGTATCCCGGTATCCCTTCCCCCAAATTGCTTGACATTGTATGAGTCATTGATGCAGCTCGCTGGTCGGGATAGAACAATCTCAGTGTAGGCTACCTGCAACCTCCTCAAGGGATGGAAAGACTACCTGACCCGTATGTTTTTGGCGTTTATTTCTGCCTGTCACTTGGTATGTTTTGGCCAAGCATTCATCGATGAAGATAGGGTATGCCGGGTATGGCATCATACTTCATCGATTTTTGCGTGGTTCTGGATTCAGATCATATGACCCTCAGATGGCCATCACAGAGATTTGTTAACTCTGAGCCATCCTACAGAAACGGCAAACCCCCACTGCGGCTCAGCCAAAAGGTATTGTGCTCAACAAAACATGCAACCTACAGATTGGCAAGCATTCACTTTGAGCCTTGTCGGGTCGTCTCTAATTTAAATGCTCCTTGGCTTTTTGTTTCATTTGAATGCATTTGACACTTTTTGGGCTATGATCAGACTTCCCTAAATGCGAAGTCAAAGCTGTCAGTTCATATTTTGTTGTATTCCTTTGTTGTATTTGTTCTATTCAAACGATTCTGGATCGTGCTCAAGAAAATGAGACTTAGCTTGTGATGTCTGTCCTGAGTCTTTGGGTCGGTGTGCCTTCACTCCGTCTTGTGCTTTTGGGTCGCTCAAATCGAGTAGCTATTGATCCCAATTCTCATCATGGCCAAGTTTAGATAAGGGATGCTAAGTATGCTTAGTAAATGTTTATTTATGCTTAGTAAATGCTTATTAAATATTGACATCTAAAGACAATAGTTTTAATGCGGAGCTGTCGTGATTGCAGCGACTGCTGGTCCCACCGGCAAAAGGACTGCCGGACCTGACAGTCGCCTAACAGTCAAACATGATCTGGACCTGGCCTGGAGTTGCAAGGCCTCGGCGCAGCAGCTCATCTGCAACTGCCTCTAAATCCTCGCGGAAATCGTGTGGAAATCCTGTGGAAATCCTGTGGAAACCCTGTGGAAACCGTGGGAACCGCCTGGAATCCACTGAAATGATATGCCCAATAATATGCAACTATGCAGTACATACATTGTTACATTTACGTATGCAAATATGTTGCAAATACATTAAAAAAACACTACACTTGATGCTATCTAAAGCTATTCAAAGTTGCTGACATCTGGCCACAAGATTTGTGATGTGTCAGGGCCACATATAAATTCCCGGGCTGATTGCCGGTCAAGCACTAGACTTCAGTGATTTTTTGGGATTTTGAAAGAGCAAAGGCTTGCAACTTTGGCACCAGAGGTTCTGCAAGACGCCATGTCCAGTTCTACAAAGAGTCGATTTCTCCACAGAATTGCTTTAGACATCTTTAGACACCAACACGTCTATCACGTCTCAAATGTTTCAGCGATTGCAGTGCCTCATAGGCTTTGAGACGTCCGGATGCAAAGCGGCCAGCGCGTTCCCAGTCTGCACCAAACTCCCCGCCACCGCGAAGGTTCACCTCCAACTTCCAGCTGTAATTTTATTGCACTGAATGTCTGACATTCACGAAGTCCAAATAGATTATTATCCAAATATTATCTAGATTAGATTTTGATTATGTTCAAAGGATTCATTCTCATCATTCTCCTCATTTTCATCTCTGTCCAAACAGCCCGATCAGAAATTTCACCGATCTCTTTGTCCAAAAGCTCCGGCCTCAACGTACTGACCACCACGTTCCAACCAGGCAGCTCCAATGGTAGCATTGTAGTTTGGCAACAGAGGAATTCCAAAGCCTTGTGCAAACGGATTGCCATACGAAAAGAGCCAACTTAGACTCTCTTGCAAATTGGCAGAGAATTCCAAAAATGCAGAGAATCTGTTGAAAATAAATGGGAAATAAATGTGTCACCGGCATGTCACCCACTTTGAAAAGGCCGCTTAACAGAACTCTATCCTGTTGCACCTCCATAGGCATAGACCAGCGTGGGCACATCTGCATTCGCACCGGCACCATCAGTGCCATCACTAGTATCACTAGTACTCATTCGCAAACAGGTGAACGGAACCTCTGTCCCATCAGCAGAGCGCGCCTCACAAAGTTCTGTGCCTTCTCCAATCTGGTGAAGGTTTGGCTAAGGAATGACACCTGATTCATCATGTGTTCATATTTACATGGTGCTCTCTGTGTCCTCTCATTTTTGGACAAAGGCTTTTCCTGGGCCATGAGATTTGCTGTTTCCTTCTGCCTCCTCATCTACCACCAAATACAAGCAATCTTTTTGGGTCGTCTCTATTAGCATGTGGGGATATGAGAAAACTGCCTGAAACAAGAGAAAGTCCCAACAGGAGTCTTGTCAGTGTATGCGGGTTCGATTACGTGCCAGCTGGAGGGACGGCAGTGCCTCCAATCGCATCTCCACCACTTTCGAAGCATCGTACAAATCCTGAAGACGTCTTACAACTTGTAGACCTGAGGAAAAAGATAGCAACTCATAGATGAGAGGTCCGTGCCGAGACAGTCACTGACTGTCTGAGTCTATGTGTGATTCAGGACTGAGTTGCAACGAACAGAGTGCAATAAGATCAACAAGCTGAAGTGTGCAAACATACTCATTTTTCAACAGAAGATCGGGACAACCTAGCAGAAATGGGAAAGACACAAGAAGGGAAAAGAAGCATCAAATGACAGGGCGTCAATGTGCAGGATGCAACTGAGTGGCAGATTGGCATGTCAAACAAATTAAAATCAGCTCGAGATGATGATACCATGATGACACCATCCAGAGGATGCTGAGCTTTCCGTCTATTCTCAGACACCATAGGACCATAGGACTTACAACTCTTACGCCCTTGCGGGAACTGAGGGTTCGAAATGGCACCTGAAAAAAGTTGCTGCCAGTCTTGCCCCTGCCACTTTCCAATGTCCTTGCAAGACATGCTCAGGTAATCTCAGGTATCATCTCTCCGTAAGGGCGGTCCAAATAACAACTTCGAAAATGTCATCACTCACGACGTGCAGGACTTGCCCAAGATCTGTCCCAAGGAACTGCAGTCAGCAGTTGCAAATTGCAGAAATAGATAGAAATTGAATGTAAAAGCGCAGGCAGAACGCTTCCTGGTCAAAACCTCGCCTCTGCATAGAACAAGGTAGGAGGCTCTCGAAAGCCAGCACGGCCGATCCACAGGCCGTCGCTTTGTGCAGAGACAGCTCGCACCGACAGTGATACTAAGCCTGGGTAAAACAAGGAGAGCTTGGCAAATTGTTGGGGACTTGAGACTCCAGAGACTCTAGATGTTTGTACAAGCAAAATCACTTTTGCTGAGAAATCGCTAAAAGTATCAAAACAGTTACAAACAGTTCCCGAACTTGGCTGCTTTGCCGAATGCCGTGCCTCTCGGAGTTCAATCTGAGCTTTCAAATCACAAGTCCCTGGTTACCTTTGAATTCTCGCCCGGGTGCTGTCTTCAGAAGCCTGCGACTTCCAGTGTTGCAACCATTTGCTGCTGGCCTGAAACAGAGTCTGAGATGGCCGTGTAACTCCCCCATTTTGCTTCACATTGCCAATTCCCGCACGCAATGTTTTCTCTCGCACACCTTCGATTCATCCATGAGACACTCTCACTGAATGTCTCAACATGTCTCAACAAAAAACGGCTGGTTGCATTTTGTTCAATGATATCCATGACTTGCCTTTCAAACAGTTCAAACTCAAAAAAACACAAAGACAACTGAGACAACTGAGACAACTCGTCAACTCGTCAACTCGTCGCCTCATCATGTCGAAGCACCAATAAATCGCTGGTCAGTGTCGAGTCCAGGATCTGTAGTACCAAATAATTTCCTCACAGAGCACAGCACAGAGGTTTCGTGCACCTCTCCACCGAGGGACATATGTGACATATGTGACATACGACCAAATCAAAACATGTTTTGCAAACAATACCAGTGCATGTATGCCTTGACCGTAGGTTGATGAAGTATTTGTCCCACAGCTTGCTTATTGAGAAAAGGCATGTGCGCAAAGATCAATGCAGGCTGGTTTTTTGGCGTTGGGATTTGTTCGTTCCACCCGCCATGGACTCCACACAGAGAGTCTTCATCAAGCTGTGACATAGACACACATGTCAGCAATGGTCACCACCTAACCATCCAAGCCACGTGTGCAAACGATCTTTTGCAATGTGGATGACCGAGAAGTGCCAACCCTTTCCTCTCCTCAGGATCTAAGGTCTTGAAAATCGGCAATTGCCTGTAGTCAACAACCATTCTACTCTTGCAACCCTACTCTGATCTCTCAAGAATTGTTGATGGTGACACTTACAGATTTCAAGCGTTCATGTTATGATTTCATGCGTTCTCAAGGCATTGCTTATCGAAATACAACAGGCATCGCAAGTGTCTTGGTGGCAGCTGGGATTCTTCGTGGGGTCCAAAGAAGTTGCCACTCCCCTCCGCTGAGAGCACTGTTGGCAGCTTGGGAGAGCAAAGCTCCTCTGGCGCCAAATGTGAGATCCATTGAGATCCTCTGGAAGATCTGGTTGCTACGATGTTCCAAGATGTTCTAAGATGTTCCAAGTCCTATCTCGCCGACACTCCTAGGTTTCTCGCTTGCTCCTGCGAATATTCTGTTTTGAATGTTCTTAAAAACAATGCTGAAAGATAACAAGCTGTCTCTGCGAAGTTCTGTCCTTGCGGGAAGTTTTTGAATTCACTCCGCAAGTGGAGGAGCAAAAAGTTCTCGAAAATAGTCAAGTCCTGTTGGTCAGCACACAGTCACAGAGACTTTTTAAACACTGGAAAGGTGTGTGTGTGTGTGTGCATGTGTCTGTGTGTGCGCATGTGCATCGAAATGACTCTTCCTGCACATCACTCCTTGAGCCGTGCCATACAGGAGGCATATCCGTCGAGAATGAGACTTTGCAAGGACTGGATTTCAACATATTTCAACTCCATCCATTCAAGTCTCAAACTATTCAGATCACAGATTCAGAGATTGCCCACATCACTTCCCACTGTCCGCATCTTGCGGCACATCCAGCTTCTGCAAGGAAAGTCTGCCAGCCTGAAACGCTGTGCCTCTGTGCCTTCAATGTACCACTGTCTGAAATGTCAACCAGCGCCTCCAATTTGTTGTCTGTGTTCAGGCACCAGTCCTCCGAGTCTCCAAATGATCGAAAGTTTTGAAGCTACCTCTACCTCTACTAAGTTTATCTGAACCCGTCATGAACCCGTCATGCAAATTACACGGCGGCATGGCAGGTCCGTAGTGTGGAAGTTCACAGATCGCTGTACCACTTGCAGCTGGTGGTTGCGCTGCCTTGACGCATAACCAAAAACGACCTTGACGCAGGTCCAGAGCTTTGCACATTGCAAAATTCACACAGAATGCGCTTCAAGATGCTTCAAGCAATTCGTTGTTCATGTTTGCTCTTCAAGCTTTCCAAAGCAAGCTCTGCTCAGAAAACAAGGGCGATTTGTTATTCAGCTTTGATCAAACCCGTCAAACCAGTTCTCTGCACCCTAATCTGAGCATATCTGAGCTACATGATCCTGAATCTCCCCTTCAAAGAGAGTAGGGGAAGCTTCCAAGGATGTTCCCCTCTTCCACAGTCGTACACTTCGAGGATAACCTGTCTGCATCTGTCCGCGCTTGAAAGGTGCACACGAAGCGAACATGAGCAGGACAAGTTCACAACCGAAACGATCACCGAAGCGTTTGCCGTTTCGGCATACGATGAACGGCGCCTGCATAGGTCTGGGAGCCAGGTCCAAAGTCTGTGCTCACAAGAAGAAAGTCCTTGGAGAAGTAGGACACAACCTGAGATCAAGATAGATCAAGCATCCTTAACAAAAATGAAAAACACATAACAACACATTCAAAATTCTCAATCAACAAAGAAAACTGATTTGACATCTTGAAAGCGCCGTGCTTTGGAATGTGCCAGTTCCGACTAAGAATACCACGCTTTTGCTTTCAGGCAGAACAAAGCCTTGTGAACACGGCGACTTTGAGCGCATGTTCTGAAGAAACGGCACAAACCATTTGACTGGAGACAGCAATCGTTGATTGAATTCGATCTTCTCTTCGGACTCTTCGGTCCTTCATTTCTGACGAAGGTCTTTCGCTCCAAGTCAAACTCTCGAGCCTGAGAGGGAAAAAGTCTGAAGCAACCATGGAACTACTAACTGTCAGCCTACCAAAACTTTATTCAATCACTCAAGGGGGATTGATGGAAATTGCGAGAAACACCAGGAGAATCATGAAATTGTTGTTCCATTGATGAGGCAGGTTCATTATGGTTCATTGCTCTTGCTCCACTCAGCTCAGCTGCTTGAAAAGCATCTTGACCTCCACGTGAGAGGCAAATCATGGCCCGCGTGGCGCTCATGTCGCCATCTTTGGCCTCATCAACAAATAATATGATGAATTGGCCTTGAAAGACATCAAAACAAAAAACGGGATGGAAATTCGATGGAAGCTTTAAAGGCTTTAGCATCCATGACTCAAGTGTTTGGAATCACAAACTCGCGCGGTGGCTCTTGCAGAGCCCTGCCTCCAGCAAAACATCGAATCCACGCCAAACATAGCTCTCACCTTGCGAGTTGCTGGTTGCTGAACTGGAAAACGCTAAGGCTGCGCCACTGGCACCCGTTGCTGAGTCAACACTGAGTCAACACACACAATCAAAAAAAAAACGAAGAGCCTTCTCTTCGACACAGTTCGTCTAGATCAAGCACCACCTGGACCCGAAATGTTCAAAACCAAACATATCCAACATCCAAAATGAAATTCACTCTGATGTTTTAGTCGGGTTTGTTTCGATTTCACAAGACGAACAGCCACTTGCAACGGGAAACAGTTCTGTTCCCATCTCAATATCTTGTACAAAACCAATGAAAAACTTGCTCTCTGAGGCTATGTTGATTCGACGGGTTGGGGCCAAGGCAAGCACAGGTATGAGTGCCGACAATGAGTGGACGAACCTCTTGGTTGATGGTTGGGAGAATTTCAAAAACAAGCACTCTTTACCGAAACTTCTCAGGACAAGCTGCTGGACACCAAAAGTAGATTCTCTAAAATCTAAACCAATATGCGAATCACCCAGAACGATTAACTATCTGATCAGTTTGTCAGAGGCGTTCTTCTTGAAACATGGTGGTTCAAGGAGGCTTTGAACCTACTCTGTAGCTGTGAGCATCCATAATTTCTGATGGATAAGAAATCCACAATCTTGCAAGGCCAAGTGTTCAAAAAGACTTGAAGGTCTCCACATCCATACCAGGTTCGACTGTGCTTTACCGGCACCCACAGCCTCCCAACTGGGATTCGTGGTAAGAAAGCTGTCCAACGTGGTCCGTCGCCACACGCCCCGTGGATTGAAGGCATCAGACCTGAGCTGACGGCAAGCTCTGACAAGATGGATCCCAACAAACATCTGTAGGACTGTTGGATCTATATGACATCTATGACATCTGTGACACCTTGGGCTTTGATGAGTGGACGCCTCGAGAGTAAAGCATCAAAGCTTAACAAAACAATTTCAACTATCACATGCGGTTGATCAGACATGTTCAGACTACAGTACGTCAACAGATATGAAGCAAAGCTTTGAAGCAAAGCTAGGCGGCCAAAAATCATAGAAATAGCCTCCAATCTCGGTCACCTGTGGAAGCTTGCCTCAGACATCTTTAAAAATTCAAAACTTGTGCAAATCAAAAGCTGATAACAGCTACAACCACATTGCGCGTAGCCTCAAGATCTCAAATTCTACAACATTTTGACATCGCACAGCATCTGAGTCCACAAATTCAGGTCATGCGTCGCAATGGATCTGCGTCGGTATCAGTCGTCTCCGTCTGCCGAAGGCGAGATAACAGTGGAGACTGCCTGCACAAACATTTTGAAACGGTCAGTTTGAACATGCCATGCTGCTGTCTTTTATCGACAACAGCCAACACATTACATCATATGACATTCTTTAAGTACCACACAGCTTCCAATTTCGCGCCTCGGATCCCCTAAACGTGAAAGAGTCTCCACATTTTGGGATTCAACCCATGATCTCACTGCCGGAGTGTCTAGCCTGGGAGATGGGACCAGGGGCATTAGCCAAGATAGCCCAAGATGGCCCAAGATAGCAGGACCCAACCGCCTGACCGAGAGACAGTGAGGTGTGAAGATTCCACAACATGTAACAACTCGGTTGTCAAACACATCGCTCGAAGTTCAACTTCTCCCTCCCAAACAGCTTCCAAGGGTTCAAAGCTAAAGTCGTTTGATGTTTCTTGGGATTTCAGGAGGAATCTGAGTGGCAAATCTGCTCAAGTCTTATCAAACCAAAACACACTGGTTTCATTTTGCATAGGACAGAGGAAATCTGTGGCGGACCAATATTTGATTAGGTTTGAGAAAACAGCCGATGAAGATTATGTCGCTTAAACTAGGCTAAATATAATGTGCATTGTGATATCTAGAATATGATGTATGGAATGCATGTATGTCTGTCTGCCTGCCTGCCTGGCTGGCTGTCTGTCTGTCTGTATGTATGTATGTAATCGATAGACTCGTCGATAGATAACCATGAATGATATCCTCAACCCAAAACTGCCCACGAACCATTGCTAACCTCTTCCCGGTTCAAGGTGCTCTTCCAGCCATTGCAGAGGATCAGCCTGGCGCCACAGTCATGCGATCTCACGTGACAATCGTTTCCAAAGAACCATGCAATATGCATTCATTTTTCCTTGGCAAAACTTGAGCATGTAGCGCATGTCGAAGCTCCAGTATTGCACACAGGATCTTGTTCTGATTAAGTGGATCACAGACATTCAGTGAGAATACTGGCAAGTGGAAACATTGCCAAGCATCACAATCATTCACAACCACATTCCCATGGCTGTGCACAGTAAATACAACTGAGTCCAACTGAGCATTTGCTTTCGACCTCTTCAGATTGCTGAAGCGCTCCACACTCAGTTTTGCAATTTCTGTTTGTTCGCCGTCTTGGGCCCGCTCTCGTGAAAACCTCGGCATAGTTCCACATCAAGTACACTGCGAGAAGTAGAAAGGTTTCGTTGCGAATCACATCAAAGTTGATTCACAAAAAATGAGATGCAGACAAAAAGCCACGCCAAATACAATGCATTTTTGCGCTAAGATCAAAGGTTGTTTCTTCAATCTCACACGATGTGGTGGGTACCTCAGTCGATTCTTTCAGACCATCGCAAGAAAATTGGCGTAGAGACGGTCCTTGCAATAATTACACCCTCTCGTCATCAAAGTGTCGAGCGAATTTTTGATACGAATGCAATTTGTGGAGGCGGAGAGGAAACGTGGATCAAACACTCAGTTCATGTCTTGATCCATGTGTGTGCGCGCATTGCCTGCCAGGGTAGTAGCAAGTTTGCACTTATATAATTCATATTTCGTTGGACAGAAAATTGACAGGACGTCCAGAACATCAAACTATCACCCATTGTCACACATCATACCACCAAGGACTTCCAAGTTCAATGACTATTTCAGGTACCTAAATCAGAGGTACTGATCTGTGACTATCACATCAACATTTGAATGGTTATTTTTGTTCTCCTCTCAACAAAAAATATACAATGTGGTAAACGCAATAATAAAACATCCGTTAAACCAACCATTTGGGCATCATTTCACATCATCCCAAATGGGGGTATACCCAATAATAAACCTCTATCGGGGATGGTTTATCGCATTGGGTTTACGTTATTATGTATATATACAGTATATACATACATTGATTGTCATCGCTTCTGCTCCACGTTCTTGTTTTAGATTGGTAGTAGGGACTACAAATAAGACTCTACAACCCTTTGGTTTGTAAATGCTTACATTTGTGTACATACATACATAGATTACATTACATTACTTTACATTACATTACACTACACTACACTACATTACATTTCATTACATTACATTACATTAGGTGCATTACATTAGATTACATCACATTACATACATACATGCATACATTACATACATACATACCATATACCATATACCATATACCATATGCCATATGCCATATGCCATATGCCATATACCATTACATTACATTACATTACACTACATTACATTCATTACATTACATGACATTGCATTACGTTACATTACATTACATTCCATTACATTACATACATTACATACATTACATACATTTCATACATTTCATACATTACATACATTACATACATTTACATTACATACGTTACATACATTACATACATTACATACATTACACACATTCAAAACATTACATACGTTACATACATGACATAAATGATTTACATTGCATACATTGCATACATTACATACGTTACATACATTTACATTTTTTACGTTGGATATATTACATTCATTACATACATTAAAAACATTACATACATTACGTACATAACATACATTACATACACTACATGCATTACATGCATTACATACATTACACACGGAACCCACATATAACAGACATAACATACATAATATACGTTATTTACATAACATACATACAATACATACCATACATACCAAACTAACCATACATACCATGCAAACCATACGTACCATACATACCATACAAACCATACATACCATACATACCATACAAACCATATATACCGTACAGACCATACAGACCATACATACCATACATACCATACATACCATACAGACCATACATACCATACATACCATACATACCACAAAGACCATGCATACCATACATGCCATACACACCATACACACCATACACACCATACATACTATACATACCATACATACCGTACATGCCATACACACCAAACATACCATACAAACCATACATACCATACATACCATACATACAAAACATACAATACATACAATACATACAATACATACAATACATAAAGTACATACAATACATACATAAAAACATTGCAGTACATACATACATAGAATACATACAATACATTAGATTGCTTTACGTCACATTACAAGACACTACAATACAATGCAAATCAAAACAATACAATACAACACAATACAATACAATACATACCAACCAATACATACAGACAGACATACATACATACATTCATTCATACATACATACAGACAGACATTCATACATGCATACATTCATACATTCATACATTACACACCTTACACACCTTACACACCTTACACACCTTACACACCTTACACACCTTACATACCTTACATACCTTTCATACATTACTTACATTACATACATTACATTCATGCATATTAAAATATACAAACACATGCATCTTTCCGAATCTGGAGGTGGTGCCCTTACCAGCAACCTTTGTTTACTCAGAATATGTTCATCTATAATCAATCCATAGTGTCATCAGTGGTCCATTCATCTCTCACCTTCCCAGGTTCATCTTCATTTTCAATTTTCACATAAGAAACTGCTCTCTTTGGACAACGCGTTGCTTGGAAAATTAGACTTATCACAGTATCTCCAATCTCGGAGGTCACCACCTAATTCAGCAAACAGCGAGTCGTTGCTAAATTGCATTGATCAGTGACAAACACGTCAGTCTTAAATGACTAGACTTCAATGTAACTTTTTAAAAGTGTTTCATATCAAAATTATGCTGTTATAAAATCTCATTTCTTTAAATGTGTATCCATTTTTCAACGTTTATCTATCAGAAATGTTCACGACATCATGTGTTTCTTCTCCAAAAAAAACTTGCATCATGATTTCCCGTCCTTCATCAGCGGCAAAGTAAAGGTATCGGTATTGACCAGTTGTGTTGATGTTCTGACAAAATTGTCCCGGATAGTAAGAGCCACCAAATGATTCAACAAGAAAGAGGGTGCCATCGGAGAGTCTTGAATGAAGATCTGAGTCTCTCTGGATTTTGTTTTTGATATCTTTCTGAGGTAATCAAGGCTACAGATGCTTAAAAGGCTTGAGAGCCCCTGTTTAAACTTTAACAGCCCCTTTATTTTTGGTTTCACACTTGGTGCCATTTCAACATTCTTGGCAGAGCGCAAGGGGTATACCGGGTATGAATGGGAAAAAGAGTTTGCAAAAAAAAACACACCGTTTTTGAAAAAAAAACATTTTCCAACTGCATGTTTGACTTTCTGACCACCCGCCCTTGGCAGGTTGACGACGTGGAAACTCAAGGGGAGGGACAGGAAGATGGGAATTCGATGTAAGTTAGGTCCATGATTCCACTGCATCCCAGTGCATCCCACTGCATCCCGCCTGAAACGAATATTTTGTTCGGTGGCATCCGCTCCTGGAATGGTTTTGCTGAACCGACCTGATGGATGGTTGGAATCCGGGTGGAACTGCAAAATACTGATTCTAAACTGAGGGGTGTCTGTGTCTGAGCAAGCGGAAAAACAAAAGACACAGTGAAGGCTGAAGGTCACAATTTCTGTCGATCGTCTCTGGGATGCAAAACAAAACTAAGTTTCCAACCCGAAATCATCTCAGCTGCAAGCGCTCATCAAATCTTCTTACATTGCAAAAAAGGTGTCACAAACACTTTGAAATTGTTGTTTTCTTTTCGTCTTTCCAAATTTTGATCCTTTCACTTTCACGTCCTCAGGGGGAAAATGTGCGAGGGTGCATGTGCGACAGTTTCAAGTGCGTGGTTTCGTCAATTGCAGAAGGTCTCCCAAAGATCTGAATTTCCGTTTGTTTTGACAATCAACTTTTTTTGGCAATGTTTTGGGCCAAACAGAATGTTGGCCAACGTCGCCGGACAAGGACAACCATGTTTTGCCGTTTCAGCATCATGTTTTCCTGACCGCTGAATCGGCAACATGCAATCTGGAAACCGCCTGGCGAAGGAAATCAGTTTCGTTGGGATTATTTTTCTCCCTGTGCAGAGTCGACGTGCATCAACGCTGATATTTTTCATGCAAGTGGCAGCGGATCATCCGCGCCAAAAACTCTAGAAAAATTGCTGGAAAATCTGGCGCCTTTCAATTTCTGGATTTGGCCATTCTGTTGGCGCAAACTCAGGCTCCGCATGTCTGAGACACCGCGCTCCGACAACATTGCCACTGTTCGAACACCTAATTTGCACAATCCATGCAAGTGGAAACAACCAAAACCCTCTGCGAACCAATGACAACCCAAATCGCAAACACACACACTTGATTAACCTCCTTGATCCTGTGCAAGTTTCTAGACAGGCCCTCTTGACAGCGAATCGGATGATTTTAGCTTGACCATGCATTCTATCTTTACCTTCCATGCATTCACCACGCCTATGCTGAAATCAAGACTCCACGTGTGTAGCGGCGTGGGGGCCAGGGTGGACCACAAGACGTAGGCTGAAGGAATGAAAAGCTTAGGGTTGAAAGCTTCTGAACAGCTTCGGAACAGAAAATATCGCGGAAAAACACACTACGCATGATCTTCAGTTCATGGGCTCCAGACAGAAAATCAAGTCATCGAACAACGGCTCAGGGAAAGTCACCCAGGCATAAATATTACAGAGTAATTGCTAGGACTGGACCAGGAATCTTGGGTGCTTACCGCCAGCAAACTTGTCTAAGTGGCAAAATGAAAAACAAGAAAAGGATAAAAAAGGTAGTCATAGCATCATTGATCTTTGAAGAAATCTCAGCCAAAGCCATCTAAGGCAACCAAAAAGTTTGCCATCTGGGTTCAGGACCCCTCCATCATGGATCTGAATTCCAATGTCCTGAAGGTCAAAAAATCACTTCTATGGGTACGGGTCAAAACCTCTAGGAAAATATTCACGCAACCATCTGTGTGATTAGCAGGTATTACCAGTAGTACCGCACGAGGCGGGGCGGAAGTTTCCAAGATAGGAAATGATAGGAAAATTTGCAAGTGGTTGGAGCATCGATCTTGGTATCTGTCTATCTACTGTATCTATCTATTTATCTGTCTGCCTGTCTATCTATATCTGTCTGTCTGTCTATCTATCTAACTATCTGTCTGTCTATCTATCTACCTATCTATCTATCTATCTATCGATCTATCTATCTATCTATATCTCTGTGTGTGTCTCTCTCTCTTTCTATCTTTTTATGTGTCTATCTATCTGTCTATCTATCTATCTGTCTGTCTATCTATCTATCCATCTGTCTATCTTTCTACCTATCTCTCTCTCTCTATCTATCTATCTATCTATCTACCTACCTACCTACCTATCTATCTATCTATCTATCTACCTCTCTGTCTATCTGTCTGTCTATCTATCTGTCTATCTATCTATCTACCTACCTATCTATCTATCTATCTATCGGTCTACCTATCTGGCATTCTCTCGGCGACAGCTGACAACAAAGCTGTTCTGCGAAACTTTCTCCAAATTTGTAAGTTGAATCTTAAAAACTAGCATTCTCTGTGACACTTCCTTCAAATTTGACAGCTGCAAGCTTGAAAATGAAGCTGTTCTGCGAAACTTCCCGCAAATTTGACAGTTGAAAGCTTGAACGAAACTTTTCTGCGAGACTCCTTTCAAATTTGGAATGCGCAGGCAAACTTGGACTTCACAGTTCCATTGCGATTATTTGCAGTTTTTGACCTCCATGTCTTCCAAATCTTGCATCCACTTAGGCGTATTACGGTATTACAATTTTTTGGTGGTTTTGGAATTATTTCTTGCTTTCGTTTTTCAAAATTGAGTTATTTTCAGAACGAGTCGTTTTGCACTTTCAGACTTTGTTCAAAAAACCTTCATGACTTTTAAATCCATGGCACATGCGTTCTACTACAATTCTCAGCTCAATTTTCCTTAGTTGTGGTATATGACGCATTTTTTCTGCTGACACATTTATTTTGGGACAGCTTTTCTGTTCTCTGCCTGGCGACATCCATAGAAAGACATTTCTCGTGTAGACGCCCTACTAGATATTTTAAGAAGTGTCAGCATTATTTTCTTTTCTCGTTTTTTTGGGCTCAATGGTTAGATGCAACTGGTGGGTGCCCGCTCCATTGTGGCTGTTTCGGCCACGGTACTGGCTGGCCCGGCCATTTTAGTGGCTGCTTCAGCCACAGCGACAATGTCAAGCTTGGAAATGGAGGCCAAATTCGGATGGCGTAGTTCGGGCAGAAAATGGTGTGACATGTTCCTTGTCTCAGATGGCCAGCCAGAGCTAGGGTCATGGTTGGATGTGAAGCGGCAACCTTAGGGTGTTGGTTGTAAAGTGTGCAAGGAAACTGGGGTTTCCAACCCTTTCGCTTCTTATTCAAGCTGTGAAGGAATGGTTGAAGGAAGGGTTTTGTGTCGGTCCCAGTCTCGATGCAGCCTTGTCAGTTTCAAGAGCTGATGGAATGCTTTGGCGAGAAAACATCATTGACACAAAAGGGGCTGTAAATGGCACGGTGTTTGGCAGAAGTTGCTGGCTTGACAAGAGCAGCTGCTTCGGCCACAGAATCTGACCACGGAAGCTTGGCTGCTTCGGCCAAATCACCTGGCTGTTTTGGCCAGCAAGGGTTTGTCTCTTAGGGAAAAAAATGGCAGCCGTGGGCTTCTTGGGGTCAGGTTGTGGAAGACACCTTGAAACCTCTTAGGGTACGATTTTAGACCCGCGAAAGACAAAGGATGTCCTCCAACTATTTGTATTGTCGTAATCGGGGACGTCCCATAACTTCCTAAGGGATTTTGAAATATTTTAGGGTCCCTCTTAAGACCCTTATTTCTTAAGACCCTACTTCGGCGACGTCCCCTAACCTCCTAAGACCCTGATTCGGGGACATCCCTTCACCTCCTAAGACCTCAATTCGGGGACGTCTGTAATACTACTAAGTGTTTCCGTTTTAAAAGCTGTTGTCCTGTTTTTGTCCTCTCCAACCGAGCATCGGGGACGTCCCCTAGCTGTGTAAGGAGAGGACGAAATGTGAGAATAAAAATGAAAATGAAACTCAACGAGCCGGTTCTTGGCTTGGCCGGTTTTCATATCAGAAAATTGCAGGTACACGGAGGTGATCAATCTCCGCCTCCCCATTGTGGAATAGCTTCATTGGCACAGGTATCCACAATGGGCCTGTGCCCCCTGCAAATCGACGTGAAATTTGACATAAACTAAAACCTAGAAGCCAAGAAATCACAGGTTAGAAGTTTACACCTCTTCAGATGGTTCACACACACACACGTTCAGAGCTGCCTAACACGTCACAAGTGCAACCCGTAAGGGCAATCCAAAGAGGAAAGAACAAAAATAGTTTCATGCAGCGACATCATGCAATGTACAGCGTCCAGTCGGCTGACTTTGCACCCTGTCCAAAATAAGGCGCCAGAGGTTGAATTTCAGAACGTCCTGGAACCTCTGAGAAGGACAATGACTGTATCCAGCTGTTCATAGTACTTGCTGACCTCGGCATCTGCATCACTCTCATGCTGCGCTACCAACTCACGAGGGCCTGAGGGTCTGGCATAGAAAGCGTACGACCAAAGGCAAAGGGGACCTTGGAAGCGCTGTCCAGTCATCCTGACAATCAGGCTATTCTTTTGGATTGCGTGTGCGAAGTTTTCACATAATCATTGGGCAAGCGACCACGGGCTGGGACATCCACACACAGCCTGAAATCAAAAGACACGAAAAATGTATGTCCCTGTACACAAATACAGTTATCCAACTCAGCTGCTACGCAACATCCCTTTGAGCGGTGCACATCCAATCAGCGCCGCCATCGCTCCATACTCTGCGCGCAATCTCCACCGCGCATCCCAGAACAAGAAGCAAGGACATTCCACCTCGCCAAAGAACTGTAATCAGTCGACAACTCAAATTGGCGTCGTCCAGAACTTTGTGTAATAGGCTTGGCTTCAAGCTCAAAAAGACATTGTGGATCAAGGCCACTGCATTCAGTGGGAACCCACCTTCTGGAACCTGACAAGTCATGGCAACGTAGCGAAATGCCATGACAATCTTTGAAAGGCATCAAAGCTGAAACAGACCACACAGAACAAGAATGATGAAAAGCAGTTCATTGCCATGGGCAACTTGTTTTGTCTATTTGCCAGACAGTCAGAAGAAAGAAAACGCAAGGGCCCGAAAAGGTAGGAATCTCGCGAGACGCGTGTTTTTTCAATGTGTTGTGGCTCCGGCAGGTCAGACAGTAGGCTCGCTAAAACGGCGGGTGCGGAGCTATCTGGTGAGATGAGTGGTCAAAAAGTGTAGAGGCGTGTGGTGATTTTCTGATTTGGAAATGAAAATTGTTAACGGGGCACTTTTGGCAGTTGAACTTGGAATTAGCGTCGAAACGCCCTGTATTTTAAACGATTTGGACGTGTAAAGTGTCAAAATCTGTCAGGTTCGGAGCACTTTTGACAGTTGAACCTCGGAAAAGTGTCAATAGGAAGTAAAAAGTGCTAAAAACTGTCATTCTCGGGGCACTTTTGGACGTTCAACTTCCAAAAAGCGTCAAAATGTGAGGTGTTCTTATGATTTCGACGTCGAAAGTGTAAAAAACTGACGGTCTCGGAGCACTTTCGGACGTTCAGACGTCGTTTTTCGAGGCAAGCGCAAGGAATTGTGTACTTCGTCAAAAGTGAGCTAAACTTGTGGGTTTTTCTGCAGTGCGCAAAACTTGGGCAGGCGTGGTGAATTTGAAGACAGTTGGAAGTGTTGCATGTTTCGTGGCAGGCGCAACATTTTTGCATCTTGGGTCAAGATGTTGGAGGTTCCAGGCATCAATTTTGTGGAAGGGGTGCAATTTCTGTGTTGGAGACATCATATTTGGTGGAGTTCATTTCTCGTGGCAGGTGCAAAGACATGGAGGTGAAAAATGCAAATCGTGGTGGAACTGTGAGGTCCAAGTTTGCCTGCAACAGCTTGCAACTGTCAAATTTGAAGGAAGTCTCGAAGAAAATGCTTGTTTTTAAGATTCAACTTCCAAATTGGGAGAAAGTTTCGCAGAGACAGCCAGTTAGAAAAACAAACATACAGGTAGATAGCCAGACAGACAGACAGATAGATAGATACATACATAGATACATACATAGATACATACATAGATAGATAGATAGATAGATAGACAGACGAATAGATGGATAGATAGATACACAGACAGAGAGCTAGATAGTTAGAAAGAGCTAGATAGCGAGCTAGATAGATAGGTAGGATGAATAGGATAGGACAGGATAGGACAGGATAGGACAGGATAGGACAGGATAGGACAGGATAGGACAGGATAGGACAGGATAGGACAGGATAGGACAGGATAGGACAGGATAGATAGGATAGATAGGATAGATAGGATAGATAGGATAAGATAGGATAGATCGGATAGATAGGATAGATTGGACAGATTGGACGGATTGGATAGATTGGATAGATTGGATAGAGTGGATAGAGTGGATAGATTGGATAGATTGGAAGGATTGGAAGGATTGGATAGATTGGATAGATTGGATAGATTGGATAGATTGGATAGATTGGATAGATTGGATAGATTGGATAGATTGGATAGATAGGATAGATAGGATAGATAGGATAGATAGGATAGATAGGATAGAGAGGATAGAGAGGATAGATAGGATAGATAGGATAGATAGGATAGATAGGATAGATAGGATAGATAGGATAGATAGGATAGATAGGATAGATAGGATAGATAGGATAGATAGGAAGATAGATAGATAGATAGATAGGTAGATAGATAGATGGATAGTTAGATAGATAGTTAGATAGATAGTTAGATAGATAGTTAGATAGATAGATAGTTAGATAGATATAGATAGATATAGACAGATATAGACAGATATAGATAGATAGAGATAGATAGAGATAGATAGAGATAGATAGAGATAGATAGAGATAGATAGAGATAGATAGAGATAGATAGAGATAGATAGAGATAGATAGAGATAGATATGGATAGATATGGATAGATATGGATAGATATCGATAGATATCGATAGATATAGATAGATATAGATAGATATAGATAGATATAGATAGATATAGATAGATATAGATAGATATAGATAGATATAGATAGATATAGATAGATAGATATAGATAGATAGATATAGATAGATATAGATAGATATAGATAGATATAGATAGATATAGATAGATATAGATAGATATAGATAGATATAGATAGATATAGAGAGATATAGAGAGATATAGATAGATATAGATAGATATAGATAGATATAGAGAGATATAGATAGATATAGATAGATATAGATAGATATAGATAGATATAGATAGATATAGATAGATATAGATAGATATAGATAGATATAGATAGATATAGATAGATATAGATAGATATAGATAGATATAGATAGATATAGATAGGTATAGATAGATATAGATAGATATAGATAGATATAGATAGATATAGATAGATATAGATAGATATAGATAGATATAGATAGATATAGATAGATATAGATAGATATAGACAGATATAGACAGATATAGACAGATATAGATAGATATAGACAGATATAGATAGATATAGATAGATATAGATAGATATAGATAGATATAGATAGATATAGATAGATATAGATAGATATAGATAGATATAGATAGATATAGATAGATATAGATAGATATAGATAGATATAGATAGATATAGATAGATATAGATAGAAATAGATAGATATAGATAGAAATAGATAGATAGAGATAGATAGATAGATAGAGATAGGATAGATAGATAGATAGATAGATAAATAGATAGATAGATAGAATAGATAGGATAGATAGGATAGATAGGATAGATAGGATAGATAGGATAGATAGGATAGATAGAATAGATAGGATAGATAGGATAGATAGCATGGATAGGATGGATAGCATGGATAGGATGGATAGGATGGATAGGATGGATAGGATGGATAGGATGGATAGGATGGATAGGATGGATAGGATTGATAGGATTGATAGGATTGATAGGATAGATAGGATGGATAGGATATTTAGGATAGATATGATAGATAGGATAGATAGGATAGATAGGATAGATAGGATAGATAAGATGGATAGGATGGATAGGATGGATAGGATGGATAGGATGGATAGGATGGACAGGATGGACAGGATGGATAGGAAGGATAGCATAGATAGGATAGATAGGATTGATAGGATTGATAGGATTGATAGGATAGTGAGGCTAGATAGGATAGATAGGATAGTAGGATAGATAGGATAGATAGGATAGATAGGATAGATAAGATACATAGGATACATAGGATAGATAGGATAGATAGGATACATAGGATAGATAGGATAGGATAGGATAGATGAGATAGGATAGATTAGATAGGATAGATTAGATAGGATAGATTAGATAGGATAGATTAGATAGGATAGATTAGATAGGATAGGATAGGATAGGATAGATAAGATAGATAAGATAGGATAGGATAGGACAGGATAGGATAGATCAGATAGATCAGGTAAATCAGATAGATCAGATAGATCAGCTGGGTCAGATAGATTCAGATAGATTCAGATAGATTTAGATAGATTCAGATAGATTCAGATAGATTCAGATAGATTCAGATAGATCAGATAGATCAGACAGATCAGACAGATCAGACAGATCAGACAGATCAGACAGATCAGACAGATCAGACAGATCAGACAGATCAGACAGATCAGACAGATCAGACAGATCAGACAGATCAGATGGATCAGACAGATCAGACAGATCAGATGGATCAGACAGATCAGACAGATCAGACAGATCAGATAGATAGACAGATAGATAGACAGATAGATAGCTAGACAGATAGCTAAACAGATAGATAGAAAGAAAGATAGATAGGTAGATAGATAGATTAACCCAATGGATAGACAGACAGTTTGATAGAAAGGCAGCTGCAAACATCGACACTCCAACCATTTGTCATTCCGTCATCCACACTCAAAGCAAGCAACATTTCCTATAGTTTCCTATCTTGGAAACTTCTGCCACCGCCTCGTGCGGTACTACTGAAATATACTTTAATCTTTATAGTGATGGATGTTCCATCATCAACCATGAATTCTCTGGCGCTCAGCGATGGCAAATCTACCGAGGGTTGAGTTTCTGAAACCCTCAAGAATTCCATTTGGAATTAAAAGAAGCAAAAACTGACCCTTTATTTCCAGATCAAACCAGGAAACACAGGTCGCAAAGGATGTGAGGTACGATGAGTCTTTGCATTCCGTGTGGCCAAGAAGAGATTTCGCAGGTGCCTCGCATAGTTGAATGGGAAGTGATCCCTTCGATTCAGCAAAGGAGCCACACCCAACTTCACCTGGTTCGCCAAGTTGCGCCCAGTTTCCACTTTTGGATCTGGGATCTTGCCCCAAAAACCAGGTGGACCTCCAGTCAAATGGTTGCAAGAGACCCATCGAATCATGCAGGAACGAAGCCTCATAACATGAGACAAAACTTTTGGAAATCTGAAAACCAACAAGGCCCAGACATTCTTTCTTACAGGTTGAACTGGAGATGTCCAAGAAAAATCCATTCTGGCAAACTTTAGACCTGGAAAGTGATGAGTTTCAAGACCCAGAGGAAGCAGCTGGGCATCATGCAACAAGACCACACAGCATTACCAAGACTGATCGCTCAAATCCTCAAGCCCTGCATGAACATGCAACTTACATGTCATGTTAACCCTTTGATCTGGTGAGAGCCATGTATGCGTTCAACTAGTCAATTCTGAAATTCTGCGGAGGTCTGTTTCACGGCCAACAGCAAACAAATTCTGGGTGGCGAACACTTTTGCACAGGTGCATTCCATAGAGTTGTCGCAACACCGCCTCAGATCTCCGGCAGGATATTTTTTCTAGGCTGAGATCCAGCACCCGTAGACACTTCCATAAACGTCCTGAACGAGCTTAAGACTTTGGTGTCATCCTTTAATCATCTCGAATCATGTTTCCATGGGGTTTGACTACTTTGGCATCCCGGAACCAAAAATACCATTGCCAAAGGATCTATAACACATGTTTTGGTTCTGCCATTGTTAGCAGAATACAATAGGGAAGGGCCAGCACAGTTGATACCATAGATAGAATATGGAAGAATATGGTGATGGATGAAAACCTTCTGTCCCAATTACACTCAATTCTACATTGCGTCATATATAGATTACTTTTAAAGTATCTGGTTTTGATCGATGTCCTAAGCCAAAATCTTCATGAAGTCCGGTGAGCACACGGGTGCTGAGTGGGTATGGGTCAAATTTGGGCCCCAATGCAATTACAAAATTGCACGTTTTCAATTATCAACTATCAATTTTGGGGGTGATTATTTGACCCACACCCATTTTTTTATTGGGTTTGACTATTTGGGCATCCCGGGAACCAAAAATACCATTGCCAAAGGATCTGTATTGCTGGGAACCAACAGCAACAGTGCAAATTTTGGGGTGATGATATTTTCTTTGGAAGATTTTGAGCTGAAATTCGCATGCCAGAACCTAATACGCCAGCATAATAACATTTTTTGTGGTCATTCCAAAAGTTCAAACAACCAAATCACAAGCTAAATGACCCCTTTTATGATCATTCTAGATGTTTTTTTTCCCAATCATCGACCCGGATTTTTCAACCATTTTGCGATTCTATCTTCGGTTTTTTTCTTAAAATTCCAGAGATTTTACCTTATATATATATATATGTGTATCTATGTATGTATATAATATATATATAATATAAAATATATATATATGTTATATATATATATTGGCGCTAGAGGTTCCACAGGGATGCAAAACAAAACTTTTGAAGCCAACAAACCAAAAAAAAAATGGAAACCCAAAAAAAAAATCCAGACGCAAGGATACCAAAAATTTCATATTTCACATTTTGATTTTTGTTTTTTTAGTTTCATGGACTCAAAAACTGTGTTTTTTTTGTATTTTTGGTTTTTTGGTCTTTTAGTTTTTTGGTTTTCTTGGGGTTGGGTGAGGCAGAATGCACAGACATGGAGGAAGAATGCACTCCAGACACTGTAATGGATCTTGTTTGCTTGACCATGGCGCAATCGATCAAAACTGAAGTCCAAACATCCCTGATAGTCGTTGGTACATCACACTTTGTCAAAGAAGAAGCATTCCAGACACTGCATTGCAATGTTTTTTTTTTCACTGTTTTTGCGCACACCCCTGGTAACGTGTTCCGTAAACATACCCCTAACCTATCCCGTTCTAGTGGTTATTAGATCTTCCCATGTTGGCTACGCTATGCTTGGTGTGCTGAGGGGGGGGACGCGGTCGCGAGTTGTATGTAAACGAAAAACCAGAAACATCAACATGTATACGCGTAAACTGAACCACATGAAAAACTTGCAAACGTTGAAACTGCATCCAAAAATTTGACATCACCCAAACGTCCACTGCCGGCGAAAGAACTGAATGACATCACAAGTGCTGAAACTCGGAAAGCTGTGCCGGACCACTCTCTTTTCTCGCCAAGGTGGTTTGTCCCACGCATTCAATTCTTCCGTCAGTGATGTCCTCAAGACATCGTGCCACACCAAGTTTCCAAAGCCACATAAAGGTCAACTGACCAAATTTCCACGTTGCATGCCTGAAGTTGTAAACCCCCGAAGTTGTAAATCCCTGCTAATTGTATGCGTAGCGTGGGCGGCAGCCCAACTCCACACCAGGGTGGGTTGGGTGGGTACCCAAAAGTAATCCTTGCAAGCCAGATGCTCACGAAGATACCTTGAGACATCTTCTCAACTGAACCAGTGAAAACTGTGTTGAAGTCAGCAGGGAAAAAGAAACCGACTGTTGTAAACAAGTCACATGAAAAACATCTGAACTGTAACTCATCTGAGAACGTCGTCCACAAACGACCATTGACAGAAATTTCGAAAACATCACAGTGAATTGTTTTCAAGAAATAAACCAGGAACATCCAAATAAACAGCAGGTTGAAAACTTGGACCATCAAATACGTCAACGTTGTTGAAGCCACTGGTGACCGACCATTGAAATAAAACTTCACGTGTCACATGTCCAAACGTGAAATCGTAACACCAGAAATTAGCAACGCTGGCACCTGCCAGCAAAATGAGTGCACACCCGTGCAAGAGACCCCACCCACCCACCCAGCACAACAAGCGTCGCATAGACCCACAGGGCAAGCCCAGTGAAGCCTACGCTATGCTTGGTGTGCTGAGGGGGGGGACGCGGTCGCGAGTTGTATGTAAACGAAAAACCAGAAACATCAACATGTATACGCGTAAACTGAACCACATGAAAAACTTGCAAACGTTGAAACTGCATCCAAAAATTTGACATCACCCAAACGTCCACTGCCGGCGAAAGAACTGAATGACATCACAAGTGCTGAAACTCGGAAAGCTGTGCCGGACCACTCTCTTTTCTCGCCAAGGTGGTTTGTCCCACGCATTCAATTCTTCCGTCAGTGATGTCCTCAAGACATCGTGCCACACCAAGTTTCCAAAGCCACATAAAGGTCAACTGACCAAATTTCCACGTTGCATGCCTGAAGTTGTAAACCCCCACTGCAAGCGCAAGGTATGCAACAGTATGCACTTACCAAGGAGTCTTGTCCTGTCTCTTCCGTTTGTGACCCCCCGGTAAGGCGTTAGACTTCGCCTGTGCTCTTAATTCATCAAACTCCTTCTTTGTATCCCACAACGCATGTATCAAAGAGGTGGGAATGTCAGCGTAGGACATAGCAATTTGCTTGGCCATATCAACCTGTGTGAAAACTGAATTGGTGATGTCATCCGCAACCGTATTGAGCTCACGAGGTCACCAACGCAACCTAAGGCAAAGCCGCCCTCTGGCCAGGAGTGAAGAGAGCTGAAGATTCACCAACATCAAGGGCCACTTCGTCGTGGTGCGCTTCCAAGAGAGAAACTCATTGCTCCTGTTGTCTGTTCCTGCAGAAAAACAAACTTCAACCGACTTGCGCAACCTGCACTGCTCGGTCCAACCAAAGGCCACTAACGCTGCCATAGAGGCAAGCAGCTCTGCTGAAGTGGAGGCCCACTGAGATCCTTTCCCTTCCACAAACAAGTAGGGCGCGTCACGCTCCTTGATAATAACTTGGAACCATCTACCAGAGTCAAGCTCCCAGCCCCCAAGCACCACTGTGTCATCCGTGCACTTTGCATCAGTGCGGAACTGTTCACCGCTGACCAACTTTGGCCTTGCTGCTGAAATCAAGTAAGATTCCATCTGTAGCTCCGCAAGGATGTACTTGAGGGTGAGAATGACAGTGTCCGGTAGCTTTGCCACCGTGCTAGAGCCAGTTGCCGCCGACCATGCATAGAGTGGGGACAGATGAGGCTTCATCCATACCAACAACTGCGACACGAAACCCAGTCTCCCCAGGAATTCTGCAAAGTCACGAGTGACCACCACGTACCGCTTGTCTGCAGCCGCCAAGATCCAGTCTTTCAACCAATCCCCACGCCTGATGGTCACACCGACCTCCTTCGTGTCATACTTCATCTGAAAGCCAACGAACTCCACTGAGAAACCGCCCCGGAACTTATGATAACCAAAAGGCGTACCAACCAGTTCAAACGCTAAGACCCAGACCCACATGTTGTGAAATTTCCTCAAGCCCGTGAAAGCACCGTGGAGGTCGTCCACGTAGACCATATGTAGAAACCAGGCTGTTGACATCAAGTGGCCAACAAATCGACCAACCAGTGAGAAGAGCTTTGCCCACCAGTAAGGCGCGCTTGAAATACCAAAAGTGCCGCACTTGTTAATCCAAACAGTCTGTGAATCTGAATCCGCCCTGCAAGCAAGAAACCCCCAATCTGAGGGTCGCACCTTCACAAGTCTATGAGCCGCTCGTATATCTGCTGAAATTGCAAATGGTGCTTCACGCGACTCAAGTGCCTCTCTGACCGCAGCCGCAACTTCCGGAGGGCCAGGACATTGAATCTGGTCCTTGTACACTATTGCATTGTTTACTTGAACCGAGTGCGTCCCATCATGGAGAGTTCGGACAGAACCGTCCGGTTTTGTGATTGCCGCCATTGCAGCTACCCTGACCTTGTCAGCTCCAAACTTCTCCTGCGCCACCGAAAGCCTCAAGGGAAACATCCTACCCAAAGCTTCCTCCTCAAGGAATTTCTTCTGGAGCTCATCAACTGAAACACGCGCTGAAGGATAGTTAATTGCCAGTGGGTTGAACTCAGACTCATCAAGCTTCTTGTGTTTCAACTTGGGTGGAAAAACCTGTGGAGTCCTTGGCAACGGCTCCAACACTCCCACTGGCACACCTGTGGCAAAACTGTCCTCCGCATTCACCAACGAGCCTACATCCGGATCCTCAAACACTTCAAGCCACTGAGCCAAACCATGCAGCAGAAACGGCTGTCCCTCGGCAACCACCAACGCCGACACAGGGTCGGGCAGCAATCCTGCCCACTGTTTTCTGAGTTTTTCCAACGCCTCCTGAGAAAAGGGAGACTCCACCAGCTTGCCAGTGGCCAACCTGAACGCTTCTGCACGCACGTCCGGAATGCACTGATTGACTGTGTCCAGCAGCAAAGCAAAGGTATCTTGCGCAAGTTTCTTCATAGTCTCCGTGCGCCTGACCCCCCGTGAGGCTGGATGCCAACGAGTGGGCGAGCAAAGCCCAAAACCATCAATGAAATCTCTCTCACGTCCATCCCATTCCACAACCATTGGATGGCCCCTGTTCAAGCAAGCTTGCATGTCAAAAGAATCAACTGGCACCTCGCCTGCACCTGCTGTTTCTAGCCCATCGACTTCGGCTGAAGCTGTCTGTGGTGCTTCAGCTTCTGAACCTGAATCAACTTGAACCACATCCTGCACCTCGCGCTCCACAGCCTTCTGACCAGTTGGGCTTTGTGAAGGGGGGTCACTGCAACCAGCTGGAGACCCATTCACATTGAGAGAATCCTTGGACCCCCTCCCGGAGGTTGCATGCGCAACAAGGATGACCTCAACAATAAATTTGCAAAGACCTTCAGGATATGAAGCACTGGGTGAGGTGTTCCAACGGTTCGCCGTTTTTCCCATCAACTTGTGTACATGTTTGTGTCCACATGCAACCGGCAGTGGACCCAAGTATTTGAACCTGCTGTCAAATCGAGGCAAACCAAAGAAACAACGTTTGTCAACAACCTTTACATTACACATGAGTCTCGTTGGCTTGGGCGTGATCGCCCCAAAATGACATTGATGAATGGCAAAAGTGGTGCCTGCAGACATGGCCAACAACTCATGTACTTCTGTCCATTGCCAAATTGAGCCCGGCACTTCATCTTGCACCAGGCCAAGATCTTCCGGGTGCTCCCAAAAATACCAACCATCACATTGTACTGCAACAGTGCAAGCATTCAAACATTGGAAAATGAACTCACTTGCTTCAGCAACAATCTTCGCATTCTCATTTGACAACCATGGAAATCCTTTCGGCCATGTGCGGTTCCGCACGGGCCTCGGGCCAGGGTACTTCCTCCATTGAAACCTGGCTCTAGAAAACGTATTGCATGGTGGGCTCACTATGAGAAACCAACCGCCTTGACGCAAAAGCTCATGCACATTGTCCCACAGCTCCTGCTTTCGCAGATCGTGCTCCTTGGAACGTTCAATATCAATCTCATGCAGCTGTAATTCAATACGCCCTTCAGCATCGAGCTTCCTAAGGAATGACCCAACGTCTGAGTGACGTCGTTTTCCAGCAAATAGGTAAATGACTTTGACCAACGGCTTGGCCGGGATGTCAACTGGAAGCTCAACCCCACTGCTGGATGATGGAGTCTGCTTCGACCTTCCAAGCATTGCCTGTCACTTCTTTGTGTTTGATGGCCGGGTGATCGCCATAACACCCTTTCACTCTGCACTGGTGAACCCGGTTGCATTTGCCATCACATGAACCTGTGTTGTAACTGAAGCACAACTCACGGTTGTCTGGAGTCCTCCAGGCCAGTGTAAGCCCTTGTAACTCCTTTCGCACTTCTTTGCCCTTGCCCTTGCTGGATTTGCCTTTGCCCTTGTAGTTTGAGGATTGAAACTTGCCAGTCCCCTTCGTGTTGGGCCTCAGCCATTTCTGCTGAGGAGGATCTGCCTGCGAAGTCATCGCTGCCCTCAATGCCACCGGTGTAGTAAAATATGTTTCCTTCATTTCAGCATCGTGGATGACCTGATTCAAAGCATCTGCCAAAGTTGTACCATCTCTCACAACCAACTTGAAAGCTTCTTTCCTCAAACGGTGCTCAAAACTCAAAATGATGCCCCAATCAGGTTTGACACGAGTCTGACCATCACCCACCAACGAAGGGACATGAATATTGTAAACTTTCTCACCCAAAATGAAGTCAACAAATCGGTTGAAGGGGGCCGCAGTGAGGCCATGTAGCCAGGCCTTAGCCTTGTATCGCGCTGCCATGCAAAGCCATGCATACATTTCAACCCGCATTGCCCTCCTGTACTCCTCCGTATTCGAAGGAAGCTTGGACTTGACCTTGGTCTTGGTGATCCTGATATGGCCTGTACTGTCAAGGCCTGTCTGCATCTGAGATGTAGTGCTGTCCTTCCTTGATGAAACCTCGTCCAAGGAGGCAGCAACTGGTTCATTTGTTTCCGTCTCTTCAGCTTTCACAGAGAGATATTCCACCGATGGTGTTTCCGATTCTTGCAACACTCCGTAAACAGCTTCAACTGCTTTAACCATCGCCTGCCTCTCGTGCACCTGCAAAGTGCGAGGCTGTCCCAAAACCTTTGCCTCTGCACGTATCTCCGTCTCCTTGGCAATGAACTCCTGAGCAACCTCCCAAGAAGACACAATTGCTGCTGTCTCGGCACGGTCAGCTGGGTTGTCCTGTGGGATAGCAAAATCCTGCAAACAGGCCAGTCTTATCTCTGCCCTTGTGTCACCAAGCGCCCTGAATTTCCTCAGAGTGCCATAACGCCTTGCGACTGCAACTTGGGCACCAAGTGACACTCCGTTGTCTGACAAGACAAACTGCAAATCACTGTCCATATGTTCAGAAATGAACTCCTTCTGTTGTTGCTCATCCATGGCTCCACTGGCACGGTCAAAACCCTGGGTGCCCAGTGAAGAAATGAAATCAAAAGATGAAACCAACCCAAACAAAAATTGACAACGGCCAGAGCCCTGAGTTGTCACACCTAACTGGAGGTCAAAACCCCGCACAATGCCATATGCAAGAAACCCAAGTTGATGCAAACACTGCCAAAATTTGAAACATGCAATGCAATGTCCAGTCTGACACGTTCATTCATGTCAGCGCCTTGAAGCGGAAAAGGTCGGAGACTTCCAAATGAGGCTCCAAACAAATTTGTGACCAGAGTCAAACTGCATGGGAAAACATGAGATCATTGAATCCAAACAAGATGACAAACAATCAAAATCACTGCAATCAAATCCGAAGGTCGCGACAGATGGCAATCAAACCTGTCCCTAAGAAAGCAGTACTACTGCGTGAAGAAGTGTCCAAGTGCAACCGCCAAACACAAATTTCAGAAATCCCAAAAACGTCAAGCAACACACTTTCACGGGACTCTCCTTAAGAGTAAGCTCGCGACTTCCACACTCTTTGGTGCCGTCACAACGACACATGTGAAATGCAGTGAAACGCTCTTCCAAACACTTGCAAGTGTAATCCAAGCAAACGCAATGCAAAAGAAAGTGCCATAAACCAAACCAGCAAAAGGCATTGAATCACTTCCTATTCAAGGTCCTGACTCGGAGCAGTTGACGACGATGATGCCGTCGAGCTTGATTCCTCCTGTGCGTCCTTACCACTTTCAGTCAACATTTTCTTCCTGCAAGCCCTGCAAATTGAATCAAAATCTTCATTGGTAACAGTCTGTAACAAACGCACTTCACAGCAGTGTGCAGGTTTCACAAAACAACCTGACAAATGTAATCTCCTGTGGTTGCCACGACGAGAGATCGTGACAAAGTATTTCGGTGGCACTGCTGCATCTCCTGTTGACTGTTCGTCCAATGATGCTGCAACCTCGAATGCTTTCTCGTGCAACAACGCCATCTGCTCGTCAGTCAAGTCTTGCACATCATCCCAATCACCAGACCTCACTTCAAGCGTGGGAAAAGTTCCTCCCAGACAGTGTCTGCCAGTCAAATTGTTCATCACGGTGTGCCTCTTGCGTATCCTCCTTGGATTTGCACCATGTGCTTCGGCATACGCACAAAGGCTGTCAATCGCCTCATCCTCAAAATACTCGTCCACTAAGCCCTCAACCAGAGACCTGTTGACGCACTGCTGTATTTTGTAAACCACCTGTCTGGCTGTACGGACATACTCCTCTGACGAGGTCATACCAATAGCCCAGCGTCCCAGGTATGCCCTCATGTCCTTGCTGAACCCCAACAGCGCCGCCACCGACGTCAAATAGTTTCTGGGGCTGTGTCCAGAAAAATGAAACTCCAAACCATCAGGCAAAAGCAATGCTCCAGGGGTCAACGTCCAGTCAAGTCCTTGTTTGACAGGCACCTGCAACTCACCAAGGACCCTGCGAATCAAAGAGCTGAGTCCAGTCGGCGTCACAAACTTCCTACGCACTCCTGACCAGTCAAAATTAGGCTCCATCACCAGGTAATCTCGCCTGTAGGCAAGCTGATCCTGTGACCACAGCTGATACCCTGTCCCCAGCCAGTCGCACCCTGTCAATGAAATTGTTCTGTAAACGTGCGCAACAATTTCTTTCTGTGCTTTGTCCGGCCCAGTGGTCTTCGTCTTTCCCAAAAGCAACTTCAACCCAAAATTCGAAAGCAATGACCGATGGGGGAGAATTGATTGCACATCGTCACAACGGAGTGCAGCCCAAACCATGACCAGAATTACCCATGCCAATGCCCTTTTGTAAAGGAATTCATCTTCATTGCAAACCAGTATCTCCAATGAAACAAGCATTGCTGTTGTATACATCTCTGCAGGTCGACGCGGTGGACTGTCAGCTGATAACTCTGCTGTCCAAGACTTCACATGTCCAAGCCATAATGGATCTCTTGACAGTTGTTGATCCTGAGGAACCCTGCCCAACGTCTCCAGCAAGTTGAGGACCGTGCTGAATGACTCCGGCACAGTCTTGCCACAGCCATCATCCACTCGACATTGCATGTAATCAATGATGTCTTTGCATGACTCAGGAAAATGCAAACCCCTATGGAGCTCAAGCCAAGACTGAAAAGGCTTCCAAGACTTGTACCTATTCTTGAGTGTGTTGGCGCGCCTCGCAGCAAACAAATGGAGCCAACCTGAAGCAGGATCCTCCAGTGTGTCAATCAACTTCGCAACAGGCAATGCCGCCTGCTTCATGACATTTGACAACAGGATTGTATACCTCTTGCGATCGTCCTCTGTCTTCTTTGCCCTAGCGTCTGCAGACTCTTCTTTATACTTACGTTGTTTCTTCTTTGCAGCCATCTCCAAAACCATGACTGTACTTGACTGTGAAATTGCAGTGTACTGGACCTGGATATCACCTGCACGACTTGGAGGAAGACGGAAAAGTGCCTCATCAGCCAAGCTACGCCTCAAGCGCTTGAAATTGGATGACTGTGTGGACTGCCAATGAACCAAACCTGCAGCCAAATTTCTGACGTCTTCATCAACCATGTCTGGAAAAAGTCCATGCAATAAAATTGAACAACCATTCTCATCATCAAAAGCAGCTTGCAACTGTAAAGGTGTGTGAAACCAATGCTGAAGCGACGTCAAAACGACGCTATCAATCTGAGGCCAATCGTCCATGGCATCTAAATGCCCATGCTACAAACCCGAGTCCAGTCTGTACTGGGTGCAACGCGCCCCAGACTACCCAAAAGTAATCCTTGCAAGCCAGATGCTCACGAAGATACCTTGAGACATCTTCTCAACTGAACCAGTGAAAACTGTGTTGAAGTCAGCAGGGAAAAAGAAACCGACTGTTGTAAACAAGTCACATGAAAAACATCTGAACTGTAACTCATCTGAGAACGTCGTCCACAAACGACCATTGACAGAAATTTCGAAAACATCACAGTGAATTGTTTTCAAGAAATAAACCAGGAACATCCAAATAAACAGCAGGTTGAAAACTTGGACCATCAAATACGTCAACGTTGTTGAAGCCACTGGTGACCGACCATTGAAATAAAACTTCACGTGTCACATGTCCAAACGTGAAATCGTAACACCAGAAATTAGCAACGCTGGCACCTGCCAGCAAAATGAGTGCACACCCGTGCAAGAGACCCCACCCACCCACCCAGCACAACAAGCGTCGCATAGACCCACAGGGCAAGCCCAGTGAAGCATGATGATCATTCCCATTAAACCACTTTTTTCATGGTTCATGTGTATGTATATATATTATATTGTAAATATATTTACATAAACATATACATATACATATACATATACATATACGTATACGTATACATATACATATACATATAGATATATTTACATATGCATATACATATACATGTACATATACATGTACATATACATAGACATATACATGTACATATACATATACATTGATATTTACATATACAAATATTTTGAGATTTACAAATACATTTGTATTGATAGTCACATATACATATCTATATACATATGTATATACATATACATATACATATACATATACATTTACATTTACATCTACATATACATATACACATTCACATATACATATACATTTGCATGTACATATACATATACATATAAACATACACATATACATATACATATACATGTAAATATATATTTTTACATATACATATAAATTTATATTTACACAGACATATACATAACATAAACATATACATATACATTTACATAAACATAGACATAGACATATACATATCTATATACATATGTATATACATATACGTACATATACATAAACATATACATAAACATATACATATAAATTTACATATACATATACATATCATATATTTTCCCCACATCTTTGTGTGGGGTTCTTGTTTTGGATTCTGTATCCCGGGTTCTCCTCCTCCAAAGTCCAGCCTCCGCCTTCCGCCTCCCGCCTCCGCCACCACTTTGTCACACAGCATCTTTGTCAACCACCATCTTTCACACACCATCTCTCACCCACCATCTTTCACACACCAACTCTCACCCACCATCTTTCACACACCATCTTTCACACACCATCTCTCACCCACCATCTTTCACACACCATCTCTCACCCACCATCTTTCGCACACCATCTCTCACCCACCATCTTTCACACACCATCTTTCACACACCATCTTTCACACACCATCTTCCACACACCATCTTTCACACACCATCTTTCACACACCATCTCTCACCCACCATCTTTCACACACCATCTCTCACCCACCATCTTTCACACACCATCTTTCACACACCATCTTTCACACACCATCTTTCACCCACCATCTTTCACACACCATCTCTCACACACCATCTCTCACACACCATCTATTTCACACACCATCTTTTACACACCATCTTTCACACACCATCTTTCACACACCATCTTTCACACACCATCTTTCACACACCATCCCTCACACACCATCTTTCCCACACCATCTTCCACACACCATCTTTCACACACCATCTTTCACACACCATCCCTCACACACCATCTTTCACACACCATCTTTCACACACCATCTTTCACACACCATCTTTCACACACCATCTTTCACCCACCATCTTTCACACACCATCTTTCACCCACCATCTTTCACACACCATCTTTCACACACCATCTTTCACACACCATCTTTCACACACCATCTTTCACACACCATCTCTCACCCACCATCTTTTTCACACACCATCTTTTGCACACCATCTTTTGGACACCATCTTTCATACACATCTTTGTCAACCACCATCTTTCACACACCACCTTTCACACACCATCTTTCACACACCATCTCTCACCCACCATCTTTCACACACCATCTCTCACACACCATCTCTCACACACCATCTATTTCACACACCATCTTTCACACACCATCTTTCACACACATCTTCGTCAACCACCATCTTTAACACACCATCTGTCACACACCATCTGTCACACACCATCTTTCACACACCATCTTTCACACAAAATCTTTCACGCACAATCTCTCACCCACCATCTTTCACACACCATCTTTCACACACCATCTCTCACACACCATCTTTCACACACCATCTTTTACACACCATCGTTCTTCAAGGACTTTCATTTGTTACACTTGAGCCAAGATATAAAATCAAGATCCCTCATCCTAAAAACAAAACAAACTAAAACAAAAACCAAATAAATCAAACATCACAAAGCAGTTCCCGCCATCATCGATCGAAAGGCTCTCGCCATTTTCATCTGCTGGATATCTTGTCTGATGATTCCAAACAACATGGATCAATCTTAATTGAACCATTTGACCATTTGGTATGTGTCACCCATCGATCTGAAACAGAAAGCAGGCTCAGGCGAGAGTCTAAGGGAAGAACCAGCAAAGCTGTTGTAACGAAAACGATCGGAAACACACCAGTTAAATAAAAAGAGAGTTGTGGAGACTCATCCGAGAACTCTGGTATTCAGAGTGTGAGCTCATTACCATCGTACGCATGAACGGCTCTTGAAAGTGATCCATTAAGGTCAGGATCAGATATTATTATTGATTATTCTATCCAAAGGGTATGTCAAATCGCAGAAAACAAGGTAATAAGCCAAATGAACCAGATAAACACACATGACAGCGTCAGAAAAACATTTGGAAACAACGTGGATACCCACAGATTGAACATATGCAACTGATGTTTGATGTGGTCAGTTGTCAGGCACGTAAATGATGACGAAAATGGCACGCGTTCAAACAGTCGCCATTGTTGAAATACAATGACATTGACCTTGAAGGTCCATGGTTGGTGCTGATGGCACTGCACTAACTGGATAACATAAATTGGTGAAACGTGAAAGATCACGGAAGGAAAGGCAGGAACATACAAATCAGGTGAGGGAGGGAGGGAAAACAAGAATTGAACCATACAAATGAAAGTCCTTGAGCCAAAATGGAAAGGGAACACAAAGAAGATCCTTGTAAAACAAAATGAACAAGTACATTAAACGTTCTTCAAGGACTCTCATTTGTTACACTTGAGCCAACATATAAAATCAAGATCCCTCATCCTAAAAACAAAACAAACTAAAACAAAAACCAAATAAATCAAACATCACAAAGCATCATCGATCGAAACGCTCTCGCCATTTTCATCTGCTGGATATCTTGTCTGATGATTCCAAACAACATGGACCAATCTTAATTGAACCATTTGACCATTTGACCAGATGGTATGTGTCACCCAAATTAAAGGCTATCTGGTGATATGGTTATCGCCTAGTAGAACCCAAAAAAAGATATAATACCAGCCCGTGACTTAGGACTTAGGCCATCCTGGTGACATAGGACTTAGTGCAACAAGTCCTAAGGCACTGGTGTTCTTACCAGGTGATTTGTGTGCACCAAGTCCTAAGTCACTGGGGTTGTGATTGGACTCAAGCACTTTTTCGGTTAAAAAAACCAAAAAATCTTCTCGGCACAAGTCCTAAGTCATCAGAACCTACATACTTACATTGCATTACACTGCAGTACAGTACATTACATCACAATACATAATACGTTAAACAAACGTATATAAACAGAAAGAATAAATATAAAACAACATTCCCAAAAAATATTTCAAAAATGAAAAAATGAAAAATAAAAAATGATATCTATATTTTTTAATTATTGAATTGCTTTAAAAGAATGTCTGTATGTAAATCGAAGGAAAAAAATGAAAATCACAGAGCGTGATCACTTAGAATCATCTTAATATATTTCTGCTAATCAAATCCTATGTCATCATGGTTTTACGAGCGTTCCATGCCGCACTAAAAAAATCAAACATAGTTCCTAATCTCATACGGACACCTGATGACCTAGGACTTGTCCAGGGGGGGTCCGACGCATGATGACATAGGACTTGGCCACCCCAGGGTATCTTTTACTAGTCCTAAGTCACGGGGGGGAAATATAGTGAGAACCATTCCAGCAGATGAATCAACCGGGCACCGACGGAAGTGTCCACAGAATCTTAGATTCAGGTGGATGTAAAGTTGGAATCGGCGAACAATTCCACAGTTCGTGGAGGGACAGTCTGATTCTGTCACGTTCTTGAAATTTGTGGGGTACCGGAACGTCCATGGACCACCGACTCAGGTCATCTGCAATGACATTGTCCTTGCCTGGAATATGGGTCACATCTAATTCCACGCCAGTAATCGATGCAAGTTTCGTCAGGATTTCCACAAAGATACATAAAGGATGTGAGGTTGTACATAATTTATTGCTTACGCTTTCAGCACCAATGTTGTCACTCAGAGATTTCAAACAAATTGGGATGCGAAAACCTGGATACGCTGTTGCAATCAGCCATACCAGAGCGATTTGTGCCAGGGTTTCAAACGCCGAAATACTTCGTTGCATGTTCTCATCCAGGTGAATTGACAGCTCCGTAAAGTCATCGTGCGAAAACTTTTCAGAAAACCACAGTTGAGATCCAGAGACATGTCGGATTAATCCCCCAATCTGGCAAAAAGAGCCCGATGCGCAAGCATCTGCCGCAGCGGTTCCAGCCCAATATGGTGTCGATCGCATCGGACGGGCTGGAAAGACACATTTGAGCCAGGCATCGAAAAGGTGTAAAATTCGAATAGAATC